AAAAAAAAAAAAAAAACTTCCAAAGAAATATATATATTTTACATTAAACTTAAATGGGCCTTGGGGAAGGGTTGGGCTAAAGCCCAGCCTTGCCCCCCCTCTCCCTACGCCAGTTGATTATTATTTCGAGCCAATCACACTATAAATAAATATAAACTCTATTTCAAAATGTTTATATATATAATTTGACAATGTATTAATGAAAAATAATAATGTATGATAGTGATAAGCAAAGGGACAAAAATCTGGGCACATGGGTTTGGAACAACACACGTGTGGCTCTTGACTTAACCTTCTAGCAGCCATGGCCCACCTCACTTTTTTTGACATTTCCTTATCCATTACTAATAAAACGTAGTCTCATGATGTAACAAAAGATGAAGTCGTCAAAGTTAGATTTTTAATATATTTTGATAAAAGTTAATGAAATGTATAGTTAAATAATTGTGAGTTTTATGAAATGTGTAGTTAAAATTAATTGTTAACTTTATCTTAATTTTTATCAATTTTTTAATTAAACCAAATAGAAATGAAATTTAAACGCGATCATATGTGACCATGCTTAATAGCAATTTAGACTCAATTTTCTTAGTTATTGGTGTGAAGTAAGGAAAATTAGAATGACAAACTTCAAGGGTAAATTCTTCATCCTTAAAAGGTAATTTGAATAAATATATTAATATGTTCATTTTATCTCGAGGAAATTAACGTTGTATCTTACTAAATAGTCGCCCAGGTCTGTCATTACAAGGCACCCCTTATTCCGAATTTACGTAACTTATTTTATCGACTTACTTATAGAGTGTTGTATTGTGCTCCTATATATTCTCTATCTATCCACTCGTGTCGCTTTCGAGCACATATACTCTTCTTTAAGAGCTTATTTGGGATAAATTAAAATTCAATTAAAATTGAAAATATAGTCGTCATTGGGTCCCACTCGTTTAATAAAAATCAACAAACGATTAATTTTTCAATTTTAATTTAATTTTAATCTTTACAAAACACGCTTTAAAGGTGGTCACATTGGTTCCTTAGCCTTAGCACTTGGTGCTGGAACGTTAACCGGGACATATTCTATACCCTTTTCTTACCTTGAAAGTGGGGGTACCTTAAATTCTGTGTGGCAAAGGATCAGAATGGACCCCATACCTTCTGTGTCAAAGATTTTAGGTAGGCAGGATTAAAATGCTCTTTAAATTAATTAACTATTGATTTAAAATTATTTTAATTTTTAAAAAATTGAAAATCATAAAAATAAAATGAAAAGAATCGAGGCGAGGCGAGTTTGAGAATTCGTGATAGGATCATGTTCCCTGTCCCTATTAGCATTCATAGGTGGGGATTCTTCATCCCTTCGTGACGGGATTGACGTGAAAGAGAATTTTGTCATCCTTTCATGTTACAAACATCTTAATAGACTGTTTTTTTTCCTTCAATTCTTTGAACGTATTAAACCTCTCCATAGAAGAACAACAAACTTAAAATGGTTCGTGTTTTCACAATCGAATTGCAAAATAAACATTGATGATATATTTGGAAAAAGAGATTGAACAATACTAAACAATATTAATAAATAAAAATAAATTAATAGAGTGGGGACGACGGTGAGAAAAGTATCATAGCGAGGGGCAACACAGTACAAATATTTGAAGGTGGAATAAGCAAAGGTTACAATTGTCAGTGTGAAAATTGATAGCCTTTTGGTTCAACACAAAATCTCTCTTAACCAAATCCTTTGAGTATGTATCGACGCAATTTTGGCTTGGCTGTCACTCTGAGAAGGACAGTGATACTGTGGGGGTGGGGTAGGGTGGGTTGGGATATGTCAGGTCAACTCAAGCATTAATTGCTCAGATGCCTTTGCATTATTGAACCAATGAAGTTCTACTCTCCACATTTGTAATTTAATTTTTCACATTGTAACATTTTCTACGAAGTTGGGGGCTTAATATTGCAATGGTCACGGTAGTTTCGGCGTTCTTTCACAATATTCATCCAACTTTAATTGTTTTCTGAATAATAATAATGTACTTTTAAAATTGTTTCCCTTTAAAAAAATTTTAAATAGTCATTGTAAGTACACGTAGCGTTGTTTTTCATCTGTAATTTCAAATTGTTCTAAAAATTAACGATTTTGTTTGTTTACATCATTGGAATCGATAGAAGGAGAGGAGTGATTGACAGGAGACGATGTTAAAATTATAATGACTATTAAAAATAATTTTAAAGTTTAATGACTATCGAGAAATATAATTAAAAATATAGTAATGATTGAGATTTTTAACGCGAATTTGGGGATCAGAGCCTCAGTAATTCATAACAGTGTTAATTTTAAAAGCTAATGCCTATAACATTTTCAAGGGACCATTGACAAGCTAAGATTGGGGCAAACACCATAAGGCCATACTGGAACCATTCCCCACTCAAGATTGAGAGGACAAAAGGGCTATCCTCCTCAAAGTCCTTTTCTCCTACTTGTCAACCGCTATGTCTATGTGTTCGTCAAGCCATTGTAATTGAAAATTATCTATGTACTGCTTCAATACATCGATTTGTTGATACAATTTTTCAATTTCTATCGGTTAACTTGTCAAAGCCACCACTAATAGATATAGTTGTGCTAACTCACCGCATCAATTGTTTTTGCCATTTGAGTTTCACAAACAAACCGTATCCTCAATGTCATGATCAAGAACATGGGTGTGCACTGATACGAAACTGATGCAGCGAATTATGCAGAATGATTTGAAGATTTAGATCAATATAAACTAAATCTAGAAAAAAGATATCATACAAAATTATGTTTTTTTAACGTAAAAAGGACGACTGACGCATGAAAATTCACCGTGTAATGATTGCACACCTTTTCGAACTGATATTTTGAATGGATCAACCATAAAAAAGGTAGAAATGGAGATTGATTTTTGTTCAAGGGATGCAAGTAGGCATGGAGCATGTGCAAATGAAATTAGGTACGGGACCAGTTGGCTCAGATGGATACCCTATAGCCAAGCATTGAAGTACTCAGTTGCAATTTATCTACATTTTGCCTCTCTTAATTGAGGCGATTATTTTTTACAATACTAATTACCCCTTGTGTAACTTATAACCTTCTCGAAACTCTAGGTGTACATAACATATTTGGTAGGCATGTAAATTCATATGTTACCCTATCGAATCCCAGTATCAGTGTTTCCGTATGAATTTTGGAAGTGTATCTATCATCACATATCTGTACATGTTACCAGAAGAACGTGATGGGCCTGCATTCGTATAGCTTTGCTGGCTTCTGAACATCATTCCCATTCTATTGCATAAAATGGGCCAATGTGCATTAACTCAATTTTGACACCATATGTATGCAACAAAAATTCACTTGTGTAAAGTTCTATGTTTACCTTTAAGAAACTCTACTGGTCAAGAAAATAAGACAAATGCTACTAGTTAATGAAGTCCAATCCTCACCTTTGTGATCACAAAAATGAAGTCAAAAAGTTGAGGATGAAGTATTTTATTGATTTTTTATTCCATAATATTTTAGCAGTAAGTTTTACTTTACAGAAATGCTCGATAGAGCATCAGCTATGACTTGACTCAACATGATATGACTTGTGGTTATTGGTTCAGAAGAATGCGCAAAATGGCTCAACTATGAATATTATTTCGTCCAGCTTACCAAACACGTCATATGTGGAACCGACCAGAAGCATGCTATGTTATTTTTTCCTGGTCTGAAGAATGTGTTAACTATGTTCATTGTGAATCCCAATGACAATAGTTTAGGACCCTAATAAAAAGATGATACTCAAAAAGTACAAGATTGGAGCCTCGCCCTTTAACATTTGCAAAGATTTTTGTTGTCTGTTCTGACATAAATTTGCTTAGTATCACAAAAGAATTTACAAGTTGAAAAAAATGACATTATAGAACAGATGTTAAGCCTTTTCACCCCTACAAGTACTCTCTCTCTCTCTCTCTCACTCACACACACACACACGCAGAATGACGAAGACAACTGGCATTCTTTATTCTACTCGACAAAAATATAAAAATAAGGGAAAATAACAAAGGGAAGGACAAAATTAGTCTAGGATTTGAGTGTAATTTGTTTGGTTTCATATCATTCCACAGTCTCTTCTTCTTCTTATAAATAGCAAGCAACATAGAGAAACCAACTTGCCAACTCTCTCTCTCTCTCTCTCTCTCTCTCTCTCTCTCTCTACAAGTCTATAATCCTGCATAAAAGAATTCGTGCTTTCATTTGAAAGTGGAGAAAATCTGAGAATGAATATATCGAATTCCGAATGCAGTAGTGGATGTGAGTCAGGATGGACTATGTACTTGGATCAACTTTCCAATTCCACAAATCATTACAACAGGGCTTCTGATAACTATAGTTATCGAGAAAAAGGAGCATATGTTTATGATGGTCAAGAAGATGAAAACCTGTCTATGGTGTCTGATGCATCTTCAGGGCCTCCACAATTTCAAGACGACTGTGAAAACTACGTGTCCGATGAACAGAAAAAGAACAGCAACCAGAAAAAGAAAATGAAACAGAAAAGAGGAAAGCAACAGAATTTGTATCTTGATGATACTGCTAGCTCCCCTATGTTTCATTTCTGCAAGGCAAGTTCAATGAAACACCATATAAATCTGTGTTATTTGCATTGATATTAATGTCTGCTTTGAATTTCAGGACAATGTAGCTTATTCTGATATTCACACTTCAATGGAACATGCTCCTGGTTTCTCACAAGGCCTTCCAGCCCCAGATTTTGAGGTACTAATATTACTTCTTTCTGATATCAAGTTTTTTTGACTAAATTTTTCCGAGTTTATTCTCTGAAGAGTTACTTTACTCAATGTATAATCTCTTGCAGGCTGACTCAATTGCAAAGAAGCATTTTGGTTTCTTCAAATCATCAGCTGAAGGGAAAAAAGCGTCTGGAAAATCCAGTGAGTTATTTATGTGACACCTACAGTTCATGGGAAAATTATTGTTTGAAGTACTAATTTTGTTGCACGTGTGCGTTGGCAGGCAGTTTTCTTGGAAAAAAGAGGCAGTAACAAGTCGAAAAAGTAGATTCTCTGCTGCTGCAACACGTTGAAGAGAGAAAGAAAGGGGAAGTGAAGGAAATATGGCATCATAATTCTGTGTCTCTTTTATTTGTTTATTCAATCTTTCCAACTGTTATTTGTTCCTGTCCATCTAGTAGGGAACAACCTAAGGAACACAATGTAAAAAAATAAAATTATTAGAATTTCTTTCTTCGTCACTGTTGCTTACATTGTTCAAGCTCCATCCCATCTATTGATATTAATAAATGAAAAGAGAAGATGGAACAATGCACTTTCCTATAATTCTAACTTGCACCAGCTGTATTGGTAGTTGAGCTTAACAAGAATGACGAAGAGAGACGTAAAAAATTTGTCAATTATCTGTTCAATCTACCAGTTTCAGTGTACGTAATGAGCCATAATTGTTTCTCTCTTGGATAGTGGCTGTTTACTTTGCGAAAGAGAGAGATGTCACAATGGTGAAACTATGCTTTGTCGCTATCCAGTACAAGCTTAGATTCATTGTCTCAAACTTGTTGTTTTATCAGTTGTACCTTTAATACATATTTTACACCCCGACACATCTCTTCTCAGCAAATGGGAAGACGCTAACGTATATTTTGACACCTTGACACATTAGACCTCGTTGTCATTCTCATTTTCTAAGAGGATGTGATGTGCTGAGGTTTCAAAATATAATTGATGGAATAGCAAGTTCGGATGACACATCTCACTTCAGCTACTACATAAGTCATTTTTTGTCACGCTGTTCAATTCATTTCTATATCTACTTAGGATGCGTTTGATTGCAAGGGTGGAAAGAAAATACTTTACAGGAAAAAGATTTGCCTAAAAAATGTTTTGCAGAGAAAATGATTTCAAGTGTGTTTGATTGATATAATTTTCCACCTAGAAAATTTTTAAATTTTCTATTCGTTTGGCTTTATTTTATATGGAAATTGTCCATCAAAGTGATATTTTTTTCCACAATTAGTTATAAAATTTGTTTCTATTGCGAAAAAGTTAAAAAAAACGAAAAAAAAAAATTTATTTCCTAAAAAATCATTTTTTCATCAAAGTTTAGTGTTCATTTGGCCTTCGTTTGCATCAAAATTGTCCATGAAAGTGAAATTTTTTTTTTACACTTGNTTTGTTTCCATTGCTAAAAAAAAAAAAAAGACAGCAGACCAAAAAAAACTTTTCCCACCTAAAACTTGAAAAAACATTTTCCTTCCACGCCTAGAAAGAGGCGCGTCTGTGGAAAATCAAAGGCACAATTTCCATGGAAAAAGTTGGCCATCAAACAACACAATTTCAAGAAAAATGGAACTTCTTTTCATTTTCCATGGCAAATGGGTGTTATCAAACACACCCTTAGAGATCTAGAACAATCAGATCATTAACAACTAGCATAGACTATCCATAAAAAATGAAAAGGGAAATGCTAGTGAACCAAATTGTTCTACTTGCAGAAATACCAGCCAAACTGCGAACTAAATGAGGGGGAGTAAGGAGAATAATTCTGGTAAAATAATGTGTTCTCAACTCAAAGCAAACAGTAGGCTATAAAGAAAAACATGAGTCACTATATTCCTTCCTTCATTTTTTTTTATTTTTTATTTTTCCCAAATGGGACATCTCACTAGTTATGACAACTACATTCAGATATTGTGATCCCCATAAATAGTCTTGATTCCATTATTGAATTTGTTCTGATTGAATTCTTCCAAATGTGTAATCAAATCCTTACCATCCTTAGAACTAGAAGGCCACATCTTGAGGAATGAGAGAAATTTTAGGAAAAGGACAACATTTCCCAGCTATGTATGTGTACTCACTCTTAACAATCTCTTCTTTCTGGCACTCTAATAATTGAGAATAATATCAGGGTTTAATTCATCAGAGAACTTCCTTGGTAATTAAATGATAATGCAGTAACATAAATCAACTCCACAGACAGTTTTCTGTTCAATGAAGGTCAAGGTGGTATGAGAGCTGTTAGAAGTTGTGTTCAAGTTCGGCTGCCTATCATTGCCATGGGTAAAAATGGAAACATAAACCAATATATAAGAATTTTAACTACTCCTCTTAATAAGATTATCCTTTTAAGATCCAACCCAATACTACGTATGATATCATAGCCCAACAAGCTCTTAGTGAACAATTCGATCTGTCTAAAGTTCAAACGAGCATTTGAATTTCAACATCAATGTGCTCAAACAAGCCATCTAAAGTTCAAACGATCTTTTGGATTTAAATATCAATGTGCTTGAACAAGCTACCATCTTGAGGTACGTTAATGGTAATATCAACATATGTTAAAGATGAAATCAATAACTAACATATAAGAGTTTAAATTACTTCTCTTAACATGACTGTTTCATATGGAGGTCCAATACTCAATACTCATGAAAAAGATATGCACGTGCTACGTCTTCGAATTTATTTGTTATGTACAAGAGTATACATGTCAATGATTACATTTAAATTATAATTATAGTACTTAAATAATATAAAAAAACTATTTTAATATATTGCAATCGTCTAGTACGGTCCAATTCCTTTACCTAACATTCTATAAGTGGGCACACGATGAATAGTTCGTGCAGCACTGAGGTTCACATAGTGGTGTGCTAATTACAATAATGGATTTTCTTTTGCATGCTTTGGGGTCAAACTTTTGTCCCAATATTGATTGAAATATTTGTCCACATTATGTTAAAAAACAAGAGTTGAGCCTCGCGATTGCTTCCACTTTTATCATTTAATCACCAATTATTGAATAAATACATGCACACACGTGCACTACAAATGATGCACAAAATCATGTTAAACAAATAATTCAATGCTGGAAAGAATAAAGCTCAGAGCTTATAATAAACCATGCAAAATTACAAATACACCACCATAAAGTTTTATAGGTTTAAATGCACTCTGATTTTTTAATAGTGGGGTTTTAAGAACTTTGTTCGTCTATGAAGTTATGTGTAGGCGTGTTTCATGTTGAACTCTAAAATATCGAAATTCAATTTTTATACTCTAATATTTACCTTATTAATCATGCTAGTCGCTAAAATCGAACGCATTCAAAAACTTACCGTACGATTGGTTTAGCCAAGAATATAGCTATGTGGTGTCGCCATGAACAATAATGGTTCGGAAAAATCATGGATGACTCCATCAAACACGCGTGGGTCAACTAAAATGTACATGATCAAACGAGAGAAAAAAATCGTGAACAAAAAACAATCACGTTCATAAAGAGAACCGTCAAGTTCGAAAAATAATGTCACATAATCGAATATTAATTAATTCTATTAGTTTGGACTCAAAATATTTATTCTTTTTAGTTAGTTCTTTTCATAATTGAATTTTCACATTAATGTTACAAGTATTCATATCAAAGTAAAGTAGTGAACTAAATATAGGGATCAAAGTTGAGCAACAACTTGTGCACTTAAAAACAAAATCAAACACCCGACTTCAAGCCCTTAAATCCGCACGTCATGGGAAGGGAATCTTTCCACAAAACATTATTGACTATTGATTGACGTGTGAGCTTATCCAACACCAAAGTGGGACATAATTCTAAAGACTCGATATGAAAGTGACAGGTGAATGTTCCTTTTAACCTCAAAACTCGTAGAAACTCTGTTAAGAATAAGACTTCTCTAAATTTTCTTACCAAATTCTACAATTCTAAGCTGATGCGTATACATTACCTCTTTGAAATTTTTCCTAATCACAAAATCTCGAATATTTCAATCGGCTGCAGAACCAGTATCCGTGTCCACATCCAAAAACTGTAGCATTAAAAGCCCCTGTAAACTACTGTATTTTTTGGGCAAGACTAGTCGGATCTAGAGTATAAAATGAACCGACGTAAATGGGTCTCCACCCGTACCCAAGCATACTGAACCCGTTTTCCAGATGAACTGAAAGGGTTTTATTGAAATGCTATAAGAAATCAACCATACAGTACAAGGGTTTCAAACACTAACGGAATCACATTGTTTACTAGCCATAGTCCATAGAACAGAATCATATTGGTAATGATGATACTGCTAAAACTGGTATGGCATGTGCAATATTAAAGAGTTGCTTCAACGGTACAATTTCCACCAGCTAATCAAATTCAGCGCTTACCATAACTATAATCCTTTTGAGAACTCTATAATCCAGCTGACAGATGTTGATTCCGTCTTTTTTGGCCTGAAGAGGCCAAATGAAAGGAGTCAGACCACGGGCGAACAAAAACATTCTTTCACATTAGGGGAGCGATAATTTAATTTGTTTTCACAGTACATACAAAAAATTCATACTGGGAACTCCAAAGCCATCAAATTACACGAGATATCTTAGGAACGACGTCACACTCTGGGAATGAACACATGGAGAATATAACTATCTACATCTGTTAAAGGTTAAGGAACAGCTGAAGGCAAATCCAAGGACATGATATAACTCCTCATTCTTCAACAAAATAGGCAAGTATTGTACCGGAATAATTTTAACTTAATGTTCATCGATTACCAAAGTGCTGAAATAATTTCTCTCACAGCAAACAAGTCCTTCCTGCAAACCAGTACTTTGTATACTTCAAATGCATATCGTACTGAAAAAACAGTATAATTGGCTGTTCACATAAAGAATTCACATTTACCACTGAAAAATGCAACATATGGCAAACATAATTTACAAACACATTTACTAATTACTAGTAAGTTGGTAACTACTTGGATAGAAAAGACTACAAGAATAAGAGCAAATACAATCAGATGTTGATATAGGCAAAATACAGTGCAGAAACAACAAAGTTCTCAAACATGGTGCAGTGACAGCTCAAGCACACGTCACACTTTTTGGAAAAAGCCTTGATAAATGTAAATGTTAGAAGAAATCTAGAACGATCTTTAAACAGAAGGGTACCTGTACCCTACATCGGGTGTGTAGGTAGGGAATGCCTATGCAAGACAACTCTCTCCAAGGGAACTCGACAAAATAGCCCCGTAACTTCGGGAGAAGGGGTGATGAAAACAAAATACAAGTAGAAATAAAATTAATTTCAGATTCACAGAACTATCAAAAGATTCATTACACAATATGATCAAGAGTGAAACTAACCCCACCACACTCCTCCACAAAAAAAAAAGGGGGGGGGGGNGAACCCTTCCATTTGGGCTGTAAAAATGTCCACCTGTAATAAGTGGGTTATGACCCAAAAATATGACTCTGAACAGGCAGCTGGGTGTCTAAATTCTTAACTACTTGCATCCAAGGGTTGTCTATGACCAAGAGAAAATTTGTAGAAATATGTTCTACAAATAAAACAGGATCTCTGAAAGCACAAATTTCAAAGTTCTTTCTACCGTCATCTTCATCGACTGGCATCCCAAAGTCGAGCAAGCTCATAGCCCTGGAATATAAGTATTCACAAGATGTTAGTTTTGTTATGGAAAGATTGTCAGTAATGATAGAACAGTTGCTGGAAACACATCCAGTAGCAAAATTACAAGTAATGCATTAAATTGAAGTATTACTTGAATCAATTTTTCCAATAATTCAAATGGAAAGGAAGGAGGGTCAAAGAGAAACAAAGTCAATCACAATAGACTTCTTTTACTGACAGAATTTAAATCTTTAGAAATTAACACTCTCTAAATATTAATAGGCCTCATGAACCCACTTCATTTCAACCCCTTGCACAAAAATTCTTTACTGTTTCCTGTACTTACCTTTGTAATGCTGATCATGTCGGAGTAATTATTTGCAACCAAAGCTTAGAACATCAAACACAACATTTTCAAGTCCTTTAACATATGCATATATGAATAACTATGTGAATACGTTACAACAAAATAAAGAATATGGAAACTATAACCATTCAATTCCAATTATTCCAAGATCAATCACTCACTCTATTGATACAACCACAAAAATAGTTTCTTGTGCAAGTACATGTCAAAAAATAGTTTCATGCACAAGTACCAAAATTTGCTTATTGTACAATATTTCTCATTTTCAAAGAACTCAGATACTGATAACAGAAAAATTATTTTTCCACAGATTTTTCATTATAAAACTCTGGACTAATATCTCCAATAATTAATCAATCAACCTTAATATCTCTTAAAAACTTAAAATCAAGTTAGACTTCATGATATAGTCCAGTGGTAGCATTTCCTACTCATCTTACAGGGATGGCTGCACTCTGAGAGCATTTCCTACTCATCTTACAGGGCTGGCTGCACTCTGGGAGAAGTTCTTCAAGCTTGAACGGGGTTCACGTTGGTGGACTCAGTAGGTTTTTTTTGTGATGTTTTTTAGATGGTTAGGGATGCTGAATGTAGGGTTGATATAGCTAAGAGGGAGTATGACCTGGAACCTACACATGAGCACCGTAATTCTCTACACCTAGCACATGCAAGATTTGAATCGGACATCATCTATTGAGGAAGGTTCTTGGAAGCAGAAGGCCGGTTCAAACTGGACATGTGAGAGGGATCACAACATCGGTACTTTCACTCATTGGTTTAGGGACGTTGCGATCGCTCTAGCATTCGGTCCATTAGGACTAAGTCATGGGAAATTATATCTACTCTTGATGGTATTTAAAGCTCGGTTACCCCCTTTTTCAGGACCTTTCTGCTCCCTCACAACCTGTTGAACCTGTACGCCCATAAGTCCAGACATTATGCCCAAATTTGTGAATGAAGCAGATAACGTGGTTCTTAATCGTCCTCATTTGATTCATGAGGTTCGAGAGGCGATTTTTAGTATTAACGTTGACGGTGCTATTGGTCCACATAGTTTTTCCTCCTTTTTCCACCAAAATTGTTGGGATATCATACAAGATGATTTTTATGGGGCCGTTTTGAATTTCTTTGTTGGTGATCACTTACCAAGGGGCTTGCTTTGCTGCCACTTCTTTTGTTTTAATCCTGAGAGGAAGGGTGTTTGTAGATGGACGGACTTTAGATTGATAAGCTTATCACTAAGCTGTTAAATACTCGATTGAGTACTCTGTTACCGTGTATTATTTCTCCCCAAGTGGTTTTATCTTGGGTCACTTGATTGGAGACAATGTTTTATTGGCTCAGGAACTTCTCCGAACTCTAGATACTAAAGTGAGAGGAGGGAGTACAGTGCTTAATCTTGATATGGTTAAAGCATACGATCGTATAGATTGCAGCTTCCTTTACTCTATTCTCGATGGTTGTGGATTTGATTGTTTATGGATTGATAAGATTAGGTGGTGCATTTCGAAATGCTGATTCTTGATCCATTTGAATGGAACCCCGTATGGTTTCTTCCTCTCTTCTTGGGGTCTTAGGCAGGACGATCTCATCTCACCTCTCTCTTCATTAATGCTACGACTACATCCGACTGCTCACGTAGCAATTTCAGACTCACATTATCATGTGCTATTGACATAGAGGTAGTTCTCTTGTCTCACATTTCTCTTTTGGTGATGACATGATTATATTCGCCAATGACCATAAGCAATCTATTCGGTGGTTACTTGATTGTTTGGAGGTTGGTAAAAAGATAAGAGTGGTCTTATTATGCCTCGCAAGATATCTATTAGCCAAATCAGGAGATTAGAGCATTTGACGGGCTTCAGGCACCAACGACTGCCTTTTACTTATCTAGGGGTTCCCTTTATGTAAGGGGGTAAGCGGGTTTTCTTATATAATGACCTTATTCAAAAGGTCGGGAGTAGGATATCTAGCTGGACCTCTCATCTTTTATTTTTTAGGGATCGGATCACTCTATTGAAGTCCGTTCTCACATCTATTCCACTTTACTTAATTCAGATCATGTAGCCTCCTAAGGGTATACTGAATAAATTGGAAAGTATTTTTGCAAGCTTCCTTTGGGATTCTAAGGATTATGCACACAGACTACACTGGAAGCGATGGAAAGATCTTTGCTTACCTACCGATGAGGGTGGATTTGGTTTCAGGATATTGCATGACATTATTAATACTTTTTCCATAAAGCTATGGTGGCTTTTCCGTTCGCAAAAATATTTATAGCCTCGATTCTTATTGAACAAATATTACAGGGGGACTCACCTTATTCTTGCTTTTGTTCTTTATTCTGTTTTACCTATTTGGAGGAGGTTGAAGCCAGTTGGATCTAAGGTCGAGCCATACATTACATGGCACTTTAGCACTCGACACATTTTCTGGCATGATTGTTGGATTGGCAAGACTACTTTGGCGATCTTATTTCAAGTTATAGTTATTTGAGTTATCTTTTCAACGCACTTTAAATCGCCTTAATCGAATATTAGAAGAGAAAGTTACGACAAAAACACTGAAGAAGGCGCAGAGTGGAAGCAGCAGGTGGCACCTCGATGCCCACTCTCAAGAAAAAGAATCAGATTCGTAGCGCCACGGGGCCACTACATGGTGCCTAGGCTCTGCCCGACGCCAAAAATAGGGTTTTCAAGTGCAATTCACATTTTTAAAAACCCAATTCAACTAAAGCTCTTTCAAAACTCAACGAAGACATAAATACAACTCTGGTTTCACACATTGAGAGAGGGAGAATACAACTGGAGATTAAAGAGCGCAAATCAATGGAGAAAAAATCAAGAAATTCAAGTTTTGAAGCATTGATTGGAAGAGGGAGAAGATCTTGATGCAAGATTAATATTTTTTTCTACATCTTTATTCAAAATCCAGTGATGTATCTAATATTTTTTGTTTTTTCTATTATTATAAGTAGCTAAATTTCATATTAGGGCAAACAATATAATCTACTTGGGATCCTTTATTTCTTTTATTCAAGATATTTATTATTTTATCATACATGTGTTGATTTTTCTTTGAGTTTAATGCGTTGAATTACTTTATCACTAATTTGATGATTTTGTAAATCTTTTACGAATCGAAAGATGAGTTTAAGATTTAGACCACAGTAATATCTGGTAAATTAGTATAAAGTGTTGAGATACATATACGAATTATTGCGATCATTATATGAATTTTTAGAACCAATGTTTCATTTAACTAAGGTTGATTCGCATATAGATATAAGATTGAATTAGTTAAATAGACTCAATAGAACTCGAGGGTGGTAAATTGAATATAATATAAGAATTCGATCAACCACTCCATTAGATTTTTGAATCTTAATTTAAGACTTGAAGGTGATCAATAAATGAAAATGTTATGCCTTAATATCCGTTCGTTATTTGAATTGTTAGTCAATATTTGCATGCATTTTAATTTATTTCAAATGTTTAAGCCAAAAATTCACAACAATATATAATTCTTTATTTTCATCAAATAGGAGTTGGAAAATTTTGATTAAGTCCTAAAGTATAGTCCTCGTAGGAACGATAATCCGGACTCAAAGGTCCATTATATTACTTGTTACGATCCGTACTCTTGCGGGATATAAAAATCGATGACAAAGTTCCAGAGACGAAAGTACTTAGGTCAGCTTGTTCACAAGGGCCACATTCACAATATCATCCCCCTATTTATTTTTTGGTTCTTATGGCTCGAAAGGAACGCAAAGCACAATGAGATATGTTTGGAGCCTAGGCGAATTATTTGGAAGGTCTATTGCATGATTTCATTTCTTCATATTGGTCGTGTATTTTGACCTATTCCTTGGCGAGGTAACTCGACTGTCGCCTCATCCTTTTTTTTTTTTTTTACTCTTCCTCTTTCTGCACCCCCTATTTTGGTATTTTGGAGTTTTTCAATGGTGGGATCTCATAAGATTAACACCAATGGATGTGTCAACAATGGTTTTGCTAGTGGTGGTGACATTATTCGTGATAGGATGGACATTGCATTAGGGCCTTCTCCACATCTTACGGAAACTGCCCTATCTTAGAGGCTAAGCTTTGGGCTATCTTCGATGGGATTTCACTTACTCGACAAATCGTCTTACCAAACATTTGGGTAGACTCACTCATGTATGGCCTTTCACTGCATCACTAGAGCTGGAGGACCATGAGCAATTCAAATTATTCTTAGACAGATTGGACATCTTCTCTCTTTTGACCGTGATACTATTTTCCACACTTATCGTGAGGGGAATCAGGTTGCCGATTCAATAGAATCTAAGGGCTGGGACCAACGTCACTATCAGGAGTTTGGACCATTTGACCTACCACGACATATCCTGGCCGTTGTGCAAGTTGACAGATACGAACTTCCGACTATTAGAGGACGTTAGCTTTATTTTCACTTTCTTGTATTGGAAGTTGCACCTTCCCTCTTATTCCTTCCCTTCAATTATTGTATTTTTCGCCTTTGGAAGGTCAGGTTTATCCCCCTTTTATTCTCGTGAGCTTGATTATATATAAACGGTTGGGGAATCCGAAACCCATCCACCTCCCCTAGTGGCCCTGAAAACCTACCGGGGTTGTATTTGTGTGTTGGAAAAAAAAAAGCGAAAAAAAATAGCGTAAATGACTACTGATTATGCATTCAAACAAAATCTGTATGGAGCTTCGTCAGAGTCTGAGAAAGAGTACAGAAACATACAATAAAGTCAGTAAAGAAACCACGCCTTTAATCCCTGTCATGGAAAAAGGAAATTACCTAGGACTGTAGACAAAAACGGAAGATGAAATAGAGGATGGAGAGACTGAAAGACAAATAACTTCTCCTGGAAATTCTTGATATCTTCAAGGCAGAGAAAAAGTGTGCCACTCACTCAACTGTTTGACCCCCCACATAAAATGCATACACCTGATTTGAAGAGGTAGAGATTATAAAACATTACTATTTTGGGGAGTAAAACCACCCGCTGTAACAGAGGCTCCATTCAATCTCGATATGAACTAGTGTTGCCTGTCACAGATGAAATTATTCTATTATATTGATTATCAAGATCATCAAAAAATCATGAAATTATTCTATTATATTGATTATCTAGTCCCCAAAGTAGAAGTATTTCATTTGTCCAAAATATTCTGACTTCATTCACTTCACAGGATCACGCACACTAAGTTGCGATCAGAAACTCTCATTCTAAGGTGTCAATCTTCAGTTTCAACTCCAACATGAACCATATACCAACAACATATCCTCTCCAAATTATGAATATATCAAGATGCATGATACGAAGTTGAGTTGATGCCTTAAATCTAGAGCCATCAGTCACACACCCTATGTGGAGTGTATATAAACTATCCAAAAGGGCTATTATTGTCCTTGGAAGATGATGACAGAAATGTGAGGTAACCGCAATGAAAAATAACAATCAAAAGAATATTATGCCGTAAATAAAATAACTTTAAAAAAAAAAAAAAAACTAGAAGTGAGTAGACGTACATATATCCTTCTATCATGCCCTGCTATCGGCAGCCTCGAAGAGTCGGGACTAAAAACCATGCAATGGGCAAATGGTAATTCCTGAGGGAGCATTCTTTTGTTTACAGTCCACAAATTATTGTCAGATCCACTCCCTTTTATTTTAAATAATTTAGGTTTCACAAGGTTGGAAAAAAAAATGTTCCTGATGAAGAAATTGCACTGCATATAATTTTCCGGAAGGCCTTATATTTAACTCGTGCCGCCAAATCTGAAGTTGCAAGCCCATCAGAAGGGACAGGACCATTTCTCACATGAAAATGGAAAATAGCTAAACAGGGAGAAGCCTGTATCAGAAGCAAGGGAGTCTGATTGAAAACTGTGTTCAGCACAAGTTGCATTGGCATTCTCTGAGGTGCAGGACAAATATCATGTGCAGAAAATTTTGTGAAGTCATTGGCAGAATATGTGAAAAATTCGATATCATCACCAGCTGAAATAAGCATGGGCACGCCAGAATGAGCCCATTTATGGTAACTATACTCTTTGGGGCTTCTGCTTGAATCGGCACCTCTTTACCTTTTCATCAGGCAAGACTTCCGATAATAAAATAATACAAAAATTCAGCAAGAAGAAAAAGGAAAGAAAATATACAATCCGCAACCCAGAAAATGTCGATTATCAAAAGCACCAGAGAACAAACCATCTTCATGGCTAATAGGGACTGCTAGAGTCAAGGCTTTCATGTCACTTGTATGAGCCCTCACTTATCCAACATAGATCCATTTCTTAATTGCATCTGAAACAACATTGCCATCACAAGATCCAGGAGCTTCGCTAGAATGCATATAAAGTATAACCTTCAACAACAGCAACTCAGTACTTGTAAATAGTTACAAAATAACATTTTCAAAAATGAAAACTGCTTATTAAAAGATAATCTAGCACGATCACACAAAGCATAGCACTTCACTGAATGTATATTAAACTGTACATAAGGCCATGCAACTCTCATCATGAATCATCCATATTACCTAAAAGCAAACAATGTACCTTATGAGTCAAATATTAGTAGACATCCTAATCCATATTGGCTCCAAGAAGAAGTGGATCATTGGCATATAACTAACTAGGTAAAACTTGACAAGTGTGGAAAGACAATGGGTCCCAATACAAAAAATTCCTCCCACATCTCAAAATGGTTCTACTACTATGGATATCCCTCGATTTGCACCAAAACACTTCCATTCCAACACAGAAATCATAAACCCTATTAAATCGCGAAACAATTTTATTATTATCTAACTGGTAAATAAGCCAGAGAATTTGAAACGAAGCCAACAAAAGCATCATTAACTAATAACTGTTGGCATATATATTCCATTTTACTGGGCTGGAAGTGGAACCAACTGTATATGTAAAAATGTTGATCATTTCCTCCCTTTAATACTGTTCATATCTTTAATGACCCCACAAATAGTAAGAAAAAAAAAAGAAAAGATTATGAATAAGAAAAATAACTCTCTCAACTCAGTTTGATGGAAAAAATCAAGCACAATCATAGGGCCAAATATAATATTGGTGTCATTCTCATTGACAATTCGTACTACCAAATATAATATTAGTGTCATTCTCATTAACAGTTCGTACTAACTTCAACAGAAAATCTAAAATTTCAGTTTACATAGATACTGGGAAAAAATCATCATTAATAATCAATTAACCACATCCAGAAAGTTGATATATGTACCTGACCATCTGAACCAGCATAGAACACTCTATTATGGCTAGGATTTGCTGCCAAGGCATTCACATCACCATTGTGATAAGGGTGTGCCTGCAATAGAGTTCCAAGGCGACTGTCCCAAAACTGCCCATTTCCAGAACTATCAGCGCTGCACTTCTGAAACCATAAAATGCAATAAGAGGCAAAACTGAGAAGCAGGAAAACCTACTAAGATAAGATACCATGACCGGATGATAAGAAGAGAATTTTTACTTTAGTGCAAGTAATGACCATATGCAAAGCTCAGTTCCACTACCCAAGACCCCCAAGTTCAACAGTTATTCTGTAGATCTCATGAGCCAATTTAGCATTCTAGCATCTTATAAACCCGGGAGGAAACATCTCAAAATGTATAAAAACAGCTAATCCAATCTAATAAAAATTTCTTCCTAGGACTATATATTATATTGCAAAATGCATCCAAATTTAGCTGTCAAATGCAATGAAGTTTGCACAGAAATCACATACCCGTCACTACTCCCAGAAAATATCCTAGTAGCATCAGGGCTCCACGTCAAGCGCGTCCTGCAATACAAGGGAAGTGCTAAAAGCAAGTTTACACAATTGAACAAATAATAGCAAGAAAAGTTCTTTGACTAACTGGGGCAGCTGTCTCACCACTGACCCTCGGCAATGTTCTTTTGCACGTTTCTTTGAGTCAAACACACAGTAGATTCGGACACAGCTATCATCACAAGCAATTTCTATTCGACCAGCATCAATAGTTATCATCACTTTCGGTACTCTCCTCATAATCAGTTCCACCGTTAGTTCTAGGACTAGCATGGCCATTTGCAAAAGACCTTATTTCGTGCATTATATTCAGCTGTGGATCATCATATGGTTCTGCAGCCATCTGCAATATTGAGACCTCAATAGAATCTAGAACCAACTGAAGCAAAAACTGCCAACAAGAGATCACTTCAATAAAGTCAATATTAAAACTTCAGAATTGGGCGATGGCATCCGAGAAACAAAAGATTAAAAAAAAAAACTTCAGGAACATAATCTCATGAATTCTTATCTTTAGAAGCAGAAAATAATATATATTTCCTCATTTCCCAAAAGAATCAGTGCAGGTATTTGATATCATTTATACACAAAATCCAAAAATAGTAGAGGCCAAAATCTCAACCAAACAGGGGAAAAGTGATGCAATTCATGGGTTAGCTCATTAGAGGATGGCATTTCATCACTTCTTTCACAATCTTGTCGCTGTGTTGGAAACAAATAACCACTTTCTTCATATGTGCATCATATATGTGAGTAGAAAAAAATTCCTTTGAAAATACGAAGTTCGACCCAAACTATGCCTAAGGGGGTGGGGGGGGGGGGGGGAAGGGAACCACCGGCCCATATTGCTTGCCCAATCTCCAGTCTCCTTGAACGGACAGCCGAAAGAGCCGTCCTATTTTTTGTTTCTTTCTTTTTTTGCCGGAGTTTGCACGTTGTCGATGCATTTATTTCACCCGTCCTATCCTTGCGTCTTTTCTTGACTACAAAATTTGGAATTTATTATACAATAGAGTGCACATATATTTGATATGCACACAGTATTGTAGACTGAATCGTGTAATGAACAAAATCTTTACTTATTTTGAATGCAGCTATTTACATTCATGATTTTTCTACATTCGTCACACTCTATACTCATAATTATTAAAATATTAAAATTTTTAAAAATTACTATTTTCATCCACGTCAATTTCAATATTATCCTTATTTTCATTTAAGCATTATACATCCATACAAATTTTATATATTCATCACACTCTAACTACACACCTAATACAATTCAAAAACTTTAAAAATCATTATATTCATCCAATCACTATCAACATCTAATGTTTGTCCTTTAATATTTAGTTGCAAAGGTTATCGAATATCTTTTCTTGAATTTATTGGATTCTCTCAAGAGTGCATTGCTTACACAACCAAACAAATCCCTCCTCGAATCATATGTTAATTAATTAATTAATTTTTTTTATCGCTTTAAATGCTAATAATTTTGGCTATTTGTGTTTTGGTTGGTAATTTTAAACTTGTTTCCTTTTGTAATGTAAGAATATTTGGGCAGATATTAACACTTATTTCGAAATTTCTCGTATACTTTCATCCGTCAAACCAATACTTACAAAGCATGAAAATAAGATTCCATTTTCCCTATCATGAAAGAATTATAACTAAAATAATTTGTTGATTTTCCTCTAATGGTAATCCTTCAATTGTTGTTTTAATTTCAGTTGAAGAGGATATTTTATGATTATTAGGGTTTTATGATTTTGGTTGAAGATGATATTTAGTGATTATCAGGATTTTAGTTAAACACAAATTTTTAAAGAATATTAAAAAAATTCAGAAAAATTTATGAAAATAAATATTAGTGGATGAATTTATAATGATATATCTGTTGGGAATTTACTTAATCAAATTAAAAATTTAATAATTAATTAGTAGCAACAAGTCGCTATTAATTATCTCTAAATGGTTAATCATACAATTCAATTTTTCGTATATTGAAATAACACAGTTATGAAAGCAATAAATAAATACAAGAAATGATCACGGAGAAACTCCAACTGGGTAAAAATTTTGGGCACTTTGCTAATCAACAATCCACTATAAATAAATTAAAACTGACAGTCCGCAAGACTCGACCACCAATAGTACTTTCCGACCTTCCGACTGCAATTCCCACAGCTCTCCTGAATTTCATGCTCCTGCACCAACTCCTAATTGCAGTTTTCAAAGTTCTCCTGGATTGCACTCTCCTGCGGCAACTCTCAGCTTTGTGAATTTGTCTATCTCCTGTGGATTAACGAAGAACTCCATGTTCTTCAACGACTTGAATTCCAGTCACTTTCCCTTGATCTTCAGAACTTTAATGGATATGTAGAAAGTAACAGTTTGGTATCTGAATTGTGGATTTGGGCCATGTTTGACACCCATTCTTATTCTCATTTTTTTCTCCTTCTTTACTTCAACCACACATTCTCCAATAAAATAGTATTACACACAAATCTAAAACTTTTCATTACTTTTTAATCACGCATTATTCCATCAACTACTATTCTAGAATTCATTTTTTTCCCCAAAATGGGTGTCAAACACAAGCTTGATGTTTTCATCGCCAAAAATCAATCACAAAACGAAGGTCGAAAGCTAATTTGATGAAGATGATATGAAGAGAATGTGTTTTTCACAATGATCAACCTTAGAATTTTCATTTAGAGGCATTCTGTTATTTATACGTAGGTCAAGGAATGAATGAATTGGATAAAAAGCCTTTAAAAATCGAATTAAAAATTCTCCGGATAACCCTGTCGCTCGAGCGAGAGCTGGGCGACAAGCGAGCGACAATTTGTCGCTCGAGCGAAGCCCTGGCAACAGGCTAGCAACGGTGTTAATGTTTTTGACGCTTGAGCCAAATCACGGCGACAGTCTAGCGAAATTGCAGCGCCCTTTTTCATTCTTTTCCACTCTCGAGCCCTAGACCTAATATAACTCAATTTCTACTATTTGCAACCTCCTCGTTGACTTTTACAACATTTTACACTTAGTCTCCTTTATTCATACACTTGCCAATTACATCAAAAACCTAACATCCTTAATCGCGATAACAGTTACCTCATATATTTTCATAGAATATCAATTGGTTGTCCAAATTAACGTTCTAGATACCATTTCTTCAAATGGCAAACATGCACATAAGACTCAATAACCATTAGATATTGAAACATAACTCTTATCTCTGAAATCAATACAAAACATAACTGCAATAAAAGCAGAATTTATAGGTTATCATTAACCTTGTTTCAAAAGGAAAAGGTCCCACTCCAAAACTGACACATCTATACTGGAAGAAAACAATCGGCCCTACACCTCACCCCTTGGCTCCGACCGGCACCACACGAGCGACGAAACTCTCGAATTAGGGTCCCCGTGTATTATCCATTCGTC